TTTCTACTCGAACATACAGTATGTATACTATAATATATACTAATCAATAATTATTTATATGGTAATGGTGGCCAGGAATTATAAAACAGTAGTACTGTCAAAATTAAGAATATCTTCAATAATAAAGAAATTGTGTTCTTATATTGTTACGGAAGTTATATAAAAAGAGTATGCGGGCTTTTATCAAACATTACCTAAATTTAAAGATGCAAAATAGCCATACTGGCTTGTATAATTACCGTCAGCCATTGTTCCCGAAAATCGGTGTTGGCCATTTTAGGTCATACCCAACTTTATACGTATGACCAAGGCGATTATTATAATAATGTAAGTACTCTCTTCACCAATCTGACCGCTGTATTCGTGAACATTAAATTTTAAAAATGAAGTTCTTGAAATAATCAATAACGATAGAGCTAATAAACCAAATTTTCACCTTTACCAAAACAATATTTCAGAGTAAACCGCTGAAAATTCGAACCTGTGATCGAAAAAACGGTTCTACCGGCTTGTAAATTAATTCTAGTAATCTAGTAAAAAACCGATTAATTAATAAAACCGATGGGCTTTCATCTTTAGCATGCATTATATCGTTGGTCAATATAATTGACATTTTTCCTGAACCTACCCTGGACTTCATGGGTTAACATTCGTTTGATTGGCTGCTAAATCAATGCTGTAACTTATTTATACGTATATACATATATATATATATATGTATATGTATATATATATTATACATTTTAAATTAAATATACTTTTTGAGAATATAATGTTTCAAAAAACCATTTCTAGCTTTGAAATCACTGTAAGAATCTCAAAAAGGTCTTACTCCTGATATACTTCACTTGGAGGCAAATATTTTACTATTTATTGCTAGTAATAATTATATTATATATATTAGCAGTGTGAGTATAAGATCTAAAGGCTAAAAACGGCTAGGGATGGCAAATGTTTTTTATTACGTAATTATAAATGGGGATAATTAACTATTCAAAACCTTAATCATCACCCTGTTTTAAAAAATCGGTGAAAAAAATTTAAGCCATTTTTTACCATCCATAAAAAAGGTCGGCAAACAAGAAAGATTGACATGAAAACTTTATATTGTTTAACATGTTTTAATAACACTAATACTAACACTGTCGCAGATCATAATGAAATCAGATTAAAATGAAGTTTGTGTTTCTGTTTGAGACCTCAAAATTCGCACGTTAACAATTCTAATTCTTAGGTCCTAACCAAAACTATAAAAAAAGTCACCTCCAAAAAATTTTAACCATGACGTGTAAATTTAATCGGCGTTTGGGTGGGAATAGCGATAGATAGTACGTATATAGATAATATGTGCGACGTATATATGAATGCTCAAAATAGGATAGAAATTCCTATTTTTAAAATAATAAAGAGAAAAACATATACGTATATATATATAACCGTATAACGTTAATACTGTACATATCGCCAGTAATCACGTTTTGATCTGAAATATTGCCAACGCAGCATTTTTTAATTGGTTGACTTAAACATTCATATAGGGTTTAAAAAAAACCGACGCTAAATGGAATATTCTTCAGAATTTAATGGCCACGTACAATCTAAGAAGCCCAGGTTCGTTGGATTTTGACTTTTTGAGTATTTCACTTTATTTATTGAATCAAATATGTTTATTCATAAATAGCTGTGAAACGTCTCTTGCAAGAAGCTCGAGAATTACAGCAAGATAACTGTTGTGACTACACCGCGCAACCCCTTGAGGTAAGTATAGAACAAGTTAGCCTTTACTTTTAGATCATTATTAAAGTGTTTCGCTACATAGATTCTTTTTTATTTTATATAGGATAATCTTTTTGAATGGCATTTTGTGATACGCGGTCCCGATGGTACCGAATTTGAAGGTGGAAGGTATCTTTCTTTATTACCGTAACGCATTTTGATAAAAATTCTTTTTAATTTACAAGATCATTTTCATTATAGGTATCATGGACGCATTATTTTACCTTCAGAATATCCCTTCAAACCACCTAATTTAATGCTCTTGACTGTACGTTGATGATATTACTTTATAGCAGTTGAAAGATCTATTTTCGCTAATTTATCTTTATTATACAGCCAAACGGTCGATTTGAGTTAAATAAAAAAATTTGTTTAAGTATTACTGGATATCACCCAGAATACTGGCTTCCGGCATGGGGAAGTAAGTATCATTCGTGCTATAAGTTATTGGTTGCTGATTAAATTAACCTTTATTTTAATCAAATATTATTAAAAGTCCGCACCGTCCTTTTGGGTTTGATTGGTTTCATGACGACTAAAGGTTAGTTGTAGTTCAAAAGATTAGTTGTATTAGAAGTTCAACTTTTTTTCAATATTTATGTAACCCTATACTCATAATAGCTAATGGCGCAATCGGTGGAATTGATTATACCGAGGCAGAAAGAAAATTATTGGCACGAAAGTATGTATTAAAAAAAATTTTTTTGCATTCCAATACCTGATATTGTTTATTTCACTACCTATTTGGTACCCATAGATCGCATAACTGGATATGTTCTACATGTGGCATATCCAATATTGATATGTTACCAGATGATAAGGGTGATACACATCAATCTTTACATACCAACTCTGAGGACAGCTTAGATAATAAAGCATCTAAAAAAAATGAAATAATGCCACAATTTTCTTTTGTATATGATGATGAACGGCGTGTGAACGATAAAGATAACAAGGATTATATTTCAAAAGGTATATTCAAATTTTATTCCATGATGATATTTCATTCAATGTTTTAACTAATTTTTTCATGAACAAAAGGCAATAATTCTGCCTCATCTTCAACTTCCTTTATCTCGGCACAAAACGCGGATTCTGAAAGCACAACAAATCATTGTGATACCAAATCCAATGAATCATCTATGCCTGAGACCCATCCCATAGCTCGACAATCAACTATTGCACCTTCGCCATCCAGATCTGTAATCATTATCGACGCATTCATCGCAGTTTTTGTTGCCATGATTATTACTTTATTGGTCAAGAAATTCATCATCTCCAGCTCCAAGATTTAGGCACGATTCATTTATTGGTATTTATTTAGTCTGTTGAATATTAAATTAATTTTTTATTTTAACTACATCACAGTACATTTCAAGAATTATCGAGAATTAAGAAGTTAAATCATAATTTCATAATTGTTGCATAATTTTTAAATTCATATTTTGTTTAATAGTTTACTACAAGCCTTTAATATTTTAACAGTTCCGAATTAGAACTTCATCTCATTTTACGTATTAGAACTAGTTTTATAAACAAATAATTTTTTTTGTAAACAAAGTTTTAATTAAAATTTTAAAATTTTAAATAAAAATTTTTAACTTTTTAAATTTGAAGTTTTTGATAGTGATAAATTACTAAATTGTATTATTAAACTACTTAAATATATTATATATATATATTTTGATCATTTTACGAAAAGAATTAAGAGACGGCATATATGGTTGTATTTCGGGAAAATTTGTCATATTATCTTGAATTAATTGTATGGGCTTTTCCCGACTTTCTGAAGCGCGTTTCTTGATGCTAGCAACGGCCGTGGCAACTTCAAAGTCACTTGCTTGGGGAGCATGATTATGCACTTTATAGCTTTGTAAATAGTGAAAACCATCTTTTAGGATTGTGACCGCACG